AGGCTTAGGGTTAGCTATGAACTGGTAATGGTTAGGTTTAGGGTTAGTTATATACTGGTATTGGTTAGGTTTAGGGTTAGCTATAGACTGGTAATGGTTAGATATTGATATTGATTGGTATTGTCCTTCAGAAATTAAGGAAAGTCAGTATAAAATCCTTGTAGTTGGAACTACAAACTTTCCTGTGGGCTACCAAAATATCTCATGAACACTTGGATCAATTTTAATAAAGCTTTCAGGAATAAATCATTAAACATACCTCTCTACAACCCAATTCAAGATGGCTGTGACAGCCACACGACATCAGAAACACAAATCTGACTTTACCAGAGTCGTCTTTACAGATGTAAGGTTCAGTTTGATGAGGTAGTAGCTGAGAGTCATTCCCAATACGTATGGTACTCATTGTGTGGGATCTTTATTTGAATCTTTAGTATTACTTGCATATGTGAACCTTGTCTGTTAGCAAAATATCCGATACCAAGGAATGCTAGGCCTTTAATTTATCGTAAACAGTTGTTTGGCGCTGAGGTCCGTTTGGTATTTTCTCATTTCAGATCAAACCGACAGAGTGATGTCCACATACGCACAAGGAGCTCGTCCTAAAGAGACTACCTACTCCCCCTCTTTTCCCTCTTCCTCCTTCTCCTCCTCCAGAGAGAGCTCTCTGAATCGACATGTTCTGACCTCAGCCTCCCAGCATTCCACCGCTCGGACTCGCGACTTCAGCAGCGGAACCTCGTCCCGTTTCAGGACCGTCTCGCCGTCTCGTCTCTTATCTCAGGAACAAACACGAAGCCCTGACTCTTCTGGTATCTTACCTTCCTCCTCCCGCACTCCTTGGCGCTCCACGCCCCTGGGCAGACCCGAGGCCACGCTCCCACGGTTGACCCCTGATGTCAGGGAGCTGGAGGGCCGCAGCTCCACTCGTCGCCTTCTGTCTCGCTTATTCACGCGGCGTTCCAGCCAGGACTCTTCCAGTGGGTCTTCCAGTGCCCGCTCCCTTGAAGATGACACTCCGTCCACCAGCGGGGAGTCCGTGGACAGCGAAGAGGGAGCCAGGACAACTGGGGTGGATGCTGATGTTGCAGAGACGACCCCAAACAGTCTCAAGAACGGTCGGGCCGACCTCTCACCGATCCAGGAATGCGATGGCTCCCAGAGCGGCCAGGCCCGGCGCAGATTGACCTCACGGAGAGAGTCTCCTGTCAGCAGCGGAGGAGGAAGCAGTTCCTCCTGGCTGTCTTCCTCACTCCGAGGCCGCTGTCCTCCTCTTCTCTCTCGCCTCAGAAGATACGCTCAGTCCACCCCAGGCTCGGAGGAAGGCTACAGCCGCCCACGACACTTACTGAGACGGTGGGATGACCTCGAGCAGAAGACGTCGCCGGAGGAGGAGGACGATGACACGGACGAAGAGGATGAGGATGAAGAAGAGGAAGGAGCAGTTGGTGTGGATCCTTTCTCTGCAGTTCGTGGTCGCAGACTAGAAGACGAAAGGTTGCCCGAACTGGAAGATGCTAATATTACGTTTTCACCGCGCAGCGGAGTGGAAAGATTTGAGACAGTTTCTTTGGGAAGCGCCGAGAGACAGAGCGAGACCGAGGAGAAACTGCGCAAGATTAAAGAGAAGTAAACATTTAATGATTTAGTATCTCGTTGGGCTGTGAGTTGGAGACACAAAGTTTGACCGTTCTTCTTTCAGTTCTTTGAATGTGGGTACAAACAGGTCTGGCCTCCAGAATCACTGAGTCTAAAGTAAGACTGGATCCAGACGCCCGGGGTGACTCTCCTCAGAAATTTGTCTCGTGAATTGTTCTGACCGTGTTCAAAATTCCAGCGAAAGTAAAATAAGCCCATACGACTGGTGTTGAAGAACCGTCACAAACGTTTTGGAGAGTCCTTCGTGAAGGCCGACACCAAAGGCCGAAGCCTGGTGAGATACAGGCTGAAGGCAGCGTCTGCTCACGACTGGTCTCAGACACAAAATTGAGACAAAATGCACAATTTTTGACTTAAACACATGTTTGCACCAACTTTCAGTGAAATTTGGGCAGAAATATTCAAGGAGTTTATCAACATACTGATTTCTTCTTGTGCTCTTGAATTATTAAGAAATAAAATAAATCAGAAAAGAAGGCGAGCCTCGATGACTCGTGAGGGAACAAACGTTCTGAAAGCCGCTCGCAGTTTATCTCAGCTCAGGGAGGTTCAGCTCCTCTCTCTGGGTCTGTTGACCAAACAGAAATGAAGAACTTTGAACGATGAGACTTTGGAGACTCCCTCACGACTTCCAGCAGTCTCAGCCCAGTGGGACGCTCCCATGACTGTTCTCAAACTTCTCTTCCCTCCGTTCAGGCTGCTGCTGGAGGACTCTGACGAGGAGGACGGCGATCTGTGCCGGATCTGTCAGATGCGGGAGGAGTCCTCGTCCAACCCCCTGATCCAGCCGTGCCGCTGCACCGGCAGCCTGCAGTTCGTCCATCAGGACTGCATCAAGAGGTGGCTTCGCTCCAAGATCTCCTCAGGTGAACGAGGAAGACGACGCCTTTAAATCCAACTCGGGTCGTTCTTATTGCTTTATTTACACTTTCATGCTGTTTTTGCTCTTTCAGGCTCGAACCTGGAGACCATCACCACCTGTGAACTCTGTAAGGACAAGCTGCGCTTGAACATGGACAACTTCGACATTAACGAGTTGTACTGGGAACACCAGCAGGTGAGTCTGACGAGACTTACCGTCTCCCATTGACGCCCAACTGTGAGTGTCCAGTGATTACCTTCAGGTTTGTTGGCAGTACTTGATAGATGAACAAACATGGGTATTCCTCTGAAATAATTGTGGTTGTCATCAGATTTTGGGCGAACGAAACAGACAAGACTAAAACGTCCGAGGATTTCTCATCGACTCGAACGATATGACGAACCCCAAAAAGCCCATTTCGTGGCTTTGTTTTAAAATTTTACCGAAGGTGTTGTTTGAGCACGTCAGGTGCTTGGACCACGTCCCTCGAGCTGTGCTGTAAACGCAGCTTCCCCCGGTCGTCCCACAGCCTCTGCAGCTACGTGCTGAGGGTGAAGAGTCTCTGACGGACATTAATTTAAAACAGAACAAACTTATTGCTGAGCTAACGCGACGGTTTGTCCAAAACTGAAAATAAAATTGAATCTCCCGTTAATTTGAGGAAAAAGTTAAATCAGACTGTTCAGTAAAAAGTTTATCAAAAAGCAAAAAAAACCAAACAATGGAGTTTCACTCTAATGTCCTGAATTTGATTTTGCCTCTTGTCAAACATCAGTGTCCACATTTATTTTATCTGCTTCCTTTTTGTTTTTTCTTTTGTAGTTTTAAATTGTTTTTAGCTGTTCGAACTTCCTGTGGATAAAATGTTTTCCAGTAAAAAAAAAAAAAAAGGGATAAAATTTAAAACAGTCATAAGAAACAAAGAAATCCTTTTAACAGTAAATCCCAGTAAAACCCCTGAGGTCAAAGGTCACGCAGCTTTAACTGGAACTTAGAAGCTGTGGAAAGTTGAAGAACCACTCGGAGGTCTGAAAAGGAATCGGACCGAGAGACTCGGAGGTCCAACTGTTCTCTCGTCTTGTTCTCATGGAACCAGGATCCTGGTTTGCCTTACAGACCCAGGATCCCAAATCAGCCAGTGGACCTGGGGTCCAGGCCCCATCCAGTTCAATAGACTTGGTGTCCAGGCCCCAGGTCCAGTTGTCTGTGAAATCTTGGTAAATGTGGGTCCACGTTTCAAGATAACATTTCTGTATCTTCTTACAGTTTTGTTTCTGGCGGTCGCGGCTCCGGGAGACACTTTAATTATAAAGAGGGGGCGGGGTTTGTTCTCTTCCAGAACGCCACGATGAAAAGACTTTTTGTTGTTCCTTCACAGTCGGAGTACGACGAGCTCATCAGCAGCGGCCTCTACCTGGTGGTTCTGCTTCATTTCTACGAGCAGAGGTTCTCCGACGTCCTCCGAGTCGTCGACGCAGCCGGGGTGAGAAAACGCGTCTAAAGATTAAGCATGAATCCATCGGGTCACGATCCGCTTTACAGAACCTTTAGTACTCCGATGAAACCGTATTAAGTCACAGGTTTTATAAATATTGAGCGGTCAGACTTCAAATGTTGGGAAAAAGACAAATCTTTCTTTCTGAGCAGTTGTTCAACCTGGCCAGAACTCTTCAAGAGTACATGGACAATCTGGAAAGTACGTCGTCAGTTCCTACGTTTTTAAACTCGTTTATTTTTGTTGCTGTGAACGAAAGTCAACGTAATAAAGTTTTAATAATTGGACTTCTGTGCCGTCCCACAGCGCCCGACGGGGAAAGTGACGATGAACAGCGGGACGGACGACCGTCCGTGGACTTCTCCGACCTGGACGACGATCTGGAGGAGTATTGACGGCGTTGAGCCGGTCGACAGGAAGTGATGTCAGCTCTCTGAGCCGTTCTTTTTCTTTTTCTGCTGCTGTTTGTCTGCTGAGAGGCGCGGCTCCTTTGGGGTCAAACTCTGAACGAATGCTTGAAATTTGTGGTTTAAAACCACTTCCTGTTTGTTTGACGGTGCACTTTATTAACCGGTAAATTATTAAAGATGCGAGACTAATGGTTCGACCACAAGTGCTTTAAGGTTAAATGAGGACGAGTCATGTGTTTGTGATTTGACCACGTTTTGGAGTCAAAAGATAAAAAACTGCATTTTTTCTTTTGAAAATATTCAAATATAAAAAGACCATTAACCCAATCAGCACATTTTGTCACAGTTGAAATTTGGTTTTATGCTTTTAAGTTGAGAAATAAAGGATTCTAAAAATGTATTTTTGTTTCTTTCATTATTATTTGACCCTCCTGCTGCCCTTGGGTCAAAACGACACAGGAGGCCTCAGACTGTGGCCTTGTGGGTCGTTTGACCCAAGGGCAGCAGGAGGGTAAAGTTTCCTCGGGATGATTTGATAGACATCAAAGGGAAGTTCAAGTCAGCAGCACAGAAGTATTCAACCAGCCCTGATCTATTCAGCTGTGATCAGCAGAAGCTTCTGAACGTCCTTCAAAGTTATTTGTAATTTTCTGTCTTTTTCTTTTTTAATATACACCCGTCTGAAGAGATTACAGTATAATCTGAACGTGAACTTTCTTGTCTCGTTCAGGAACTTCATGCACCACCACCAGATGGAGTTACTAAACTTTTCACCAAGGTCAAAGTTTCAAATCAAGGTCAAAGCTACAAGGTCTTTCCTACAGATTGCAGTTTGGCCGGTGTATGATGTGCCGAATGCGGTACTCGTTTTGGACCAAACCACAACGCCTCATTCTCCGTGTGCCTAAACAAAAAACAAAAAAAAGAAGAGTCTGACCAGAACAAATACTTTAACTGAAGAAGTTTTCTTTAAGAAAAATCCAAAGAAACTCGAGGCCAGGTGAATGAAGCGTAAGAGCAGTTTTCAGCTAACGGCTCTTTGGGGATCAACTTGTTGGAGCTGAAGTCCTTGTTTTCTGTCAGAATGTTCGCTCCGGTTGAATCAACGGAAAATGCCGAAACTGGAACGAAGTGACAGCTGCTGGTAGCAAAGAGCCCGTTTAAAAGATTTAACAAAGTTAAGTCATTCTGAAAGGATAAAAAAAATGAACTTGTTGAAACAACAAAGTCCATGCTCAATAATCCAGGTATACAATCCAACATTTTTCGGTCAGGTCATCTGGACAGTTTCTTTTTTTTGTGTGCTGAAATGTTTCGCCTTTGATCCGGAAGGCTTCATCAGTCAAGGAAATGCAGCAAAACTGATTCTTCCTCCAACAGCTTACTCCAAAGTGGAACAAACCAGTTTGGTTGGTGCTAAGATGGTCTCTTTGGTACGCCCCCTCCTCCATGGCCGGCCCTCTTCCTTCTCAACAAATATATATATGTATATATATATATATATATATATTTTTTTTTTTTTTTTTAAATATATATTTATATATATATATATATATATATACATAGGGTTAGCTCTCCATCCAGTCTGGTCAGCTCAGTAACAGACATGGAAACAGGAACCCGGCCTGTGTGAAACAGACCTAATAATCAATAACCCTGGGTTTTATCAATATCAAAAACCATCACAAATATAAGCAATACATGTACATGTTTTATCATCATTACTGTAGTAATATAAGTTCATAATATATAGAATCAAGCTCATTATTTGAGTAATCAAATATTCCAAATATTAAAGGTCCTAATATTGCACCTTAGCACATATAGCATTTCACCATCTCAATGTACTTTCAATTTAAATGCTTCAATGTTAACACTAGGAGTTAGTTACTTATTACAATATATAACAGTACTATCATTGACATTTAGTATAGAAAAGTTTATGTTTGATATTTATTTTTTCTATAAGCACATTCTAATTAATGTAGCAATACAGCACAGATTCATTACAGAGCCCAATACAATAACCTGGAGGCTAGCGCTAGCATGCTAGCTACAGAAACAAACCAACAAACTCACCAGTTCCCACTTTTAGAATACGCAGTCAGCTGAAGGTTTTTTCACAAACAAAGACATCTAAAAGTTTAGAGGCATGTCAGTCAGAAATGGCACATAAGCATTAGATAAAGGGCTTTCAATGGCTTAAAAGCTTACCTGCCGCAGCTAGCCCCTCACACATAGCCTGGTTGTGAGTGTCACTGCACAATCTGTTCTGGAAGCACGATCCACACAGTGCATTCAGCTCTGGGCGCAGGAGAGGTGCGCCCAGAGTGGTGAGAGGTGGGGCGGCGCCCTAGCGCCCTCTGTTGGCCAGCCGCCACTGCATCTCGGAACAGCTTCAACCGCACCAATAAACAGAAAGCGTTGCAGTTCTAACGAGGAATCACAGGAACATTTTTCAGGACTGAATGAGACAGAGACAGCAGCAGGAAGTGGACTCAGTGGTTTTAATGAATTAAGCTCTTCAGATTTAAAGACATTCATATAAAATATTTCCAGTGGAAGCTCAACAGTCCTGCAGGCGTCAAATTTAATTTATTAACTGCACAATTAAGAGTTAATTTCTCACAATAACAGTGTGAAGTCAGCTTCTTGGCAAATGCAGGCAACAAAAGGTGACTTCTTTCGTTCACTTGGCTTAAGAAATTTTACAAGAAAAGCATAAATAAAATTTTAAAAAGGCACTTAGAAAGATTCCTGTAGCTGATTCAAGCGGCAAAACCTTTAAAAGTTCGATATGAACCCCCCAACGAGCCCGGCTGAGGCGGTTAGTCACAAGCTTCTTACTCGATTAATCATTGAAGCCCCTTTGCTTTGTTTTGAGTTTAAAACTTTTATTTACAGCGTGAACAGTGCGACCTGCCCTCCCCCGCGCTGCAGGAACAGATTAAAGTGCGTCTTCATCAGTAGTTAGAAAAAAGTCCATCTTCGGTGAGACGAAAACTGTTCAGTTCATCGTCGTCATTTATAAATTAAAAAAACTTTTGGAAGGCAGTAACGAAAACTAAGTTTATTTAATTTATCCGGAGTTGATATTAAAAAGCTGTCTGAGGTTTTTATCCACAAAGAAGATTTCTACTAAAATTCAAGCGTTTTAAGTTTTTTTTTTTGTGCTTCATTTTTAGCCCAGAAACGTTTAAAGAGTCACCTTATTAAAATTAGGAGCGCAACTCATAAAATACAAAAACTAGCATTCTTTGAAAGAATGCATATCGCCCACCACCTTAGATACCGAAACTAGAATCAAAACTCCCATCAGATAGCAATTAGAGTTGTGGATGACTCTCAGCTACTACCACACCAAGTTTAGCTCCTTAGCTGTAAAAGTGACCGAGCTTGAGACGTTTTTGTGTTAGCCAACTTTGAAAAGCAGTGGCGGCCATCTTACATTGAGCTCTCCTGACGGTGTGCGGCAGTGATGCTGCTCATCAAACACTCGAGGTTGAGCAAAATAAATATTTGAACGTATAAAAGCAGAGCAGCATGATTTCTGATAGTTTGAAGTCAGTGCAGTTTAACCCTTTCAGAGTAAAATTCTGTTTAGCAGGTAGAATCAAGTAAATTAAGAAACTTTGGCAGATATTCACATTTCAGTATTTACAGTTTAACACCTGATAAAAGACGTTTTAAGGCGAGAGCAGGAAGAACAAACAAAAACACAAATGGGCTGCGGCTGCGTCGACCGTCCCCGAGGCCAAACACAGAGGCTCAGTCGGCGTCGGTGATAATACTGGTGCTGTCTGTGTCGTCAAAGGTCCGCTTGTAGCGGATGGAGGAGGAGCTGAATGGGAATCTTCTCCTCTTGTAGAAGATGAAGCCGACGGCCAAGAGGAGCGCCAAGACAACGACGATGAAGAGACCCACCGCTACAGGAGAGCCGGAAGACTCTGAGGACCAAAAACAAGCCGAAACGTTGACTTTTAAACATCAAAAGGTCTATTAGGTTGGTTTTGTTTATAGAGTGGTGGGGGCTAAAAGCTAACATTGGTCCTGATCAGCTAAATGCTAAAAGTATTATTTCTTGTTAGCTAAATGCTAACAATATTCTTTCTGGTTAGCTACATGCTAAAAGTAGTATTTCTCATTAGCTAAATGATAACAGTATTTTTCCTGATCAGCTAAATGCTAACAGTGTACTTTCTCATTAGCTAAACAGTAACAGGGAGAGTGGGGAGTGGTGGCGCAGAGGTTAGAGAGGTGGGCTTGTGATCCGAAGATCGCCGGTTCACGCCCCTTAACCCCACCATGTGCTCCTTAAAACAGGTCTCTCTTGAAAATGAGTTCTCGTGGCTCAATGAGACTAACCTGGATAAATAAAGGCTAAATGAAAAAAAAAAAACAGTAATTTTTCTGATCAGCTAAACTCTAACAGTCTCTTTTCTGATCAGCTAAATGCTAGCAGTCTCTTTCCTAATCAGCTAAATGCTAACAGTACAGTTCCTTACCAGCTAAATGCTAACAGTACGTTTCCTTACCAGCTAAATGCTAACAGTACATTTCCCAACCAGCTAAATGCGAACAGTAAGTTTCTCGACCAGCTAAATGCTAACAGTATATTTCTCAACGAGCTAAATGCTAATAGTACATTTCCTGGCCAGCTAAATGCTAACAGTATATTTCCTGACCAGCTAAATGCTAACAGTACGTTTCCTGAACAGCTAAATGCTAACAGTACGTTTTCTGACCAGCTAAATGCTAACAGTATGTTTCCTAACCAGCTAAATGCTAACAGTACGTTTCCTGAACAGCTAAATGCTAATAGTATGTTTACTGTTCAGCTATTTTAATGACGTTTGAAATGTTCTGATCCGTTTTCTCAGTGATAATGTGTTTGAAGCCAAATAAATAATTTACAGGATTCTAATTCAACATTTGTTTCCTGATCAGCTGAACGTTTCCTGAACAGCTGAATGTTTCCAGCAGCATCACTCACTCGCTTGAGTTTTGCACACGACACGACTCTTGGTGTTTCCACAGTTGACCGTCTTCCAGCCGCCGCCGTCGGCCGCCATCATGACGGCGCAGACGGGCTCGGACCCGGCCGCCTTCGGCTTGGTGTCAGACTTCAGGTTTGTGTAGGTCAGAGTGGAGCCGTCCTGCCAGGACACGGCTCTACCTGAGAGGACAGGAGACGATCACAGATCAGATGTTTGATATTTGAAGCAACGGTTCAGAATTTCAGAGGTTTGGGTCTTCTGGGCCGTCCAGAACTTCTACCTTGGGTTTTATATTTGTTTACCTTGTGGATCGAACTTCATGTCGAGCCACACCTGGCTGGTGATGAGCGGGTCATCAGTGAGGTGTTGGACCAGGAAGTCGTTCTCCTGTTTGGTTCTGATGGTCAGGAGCTGAGCGTCTGTGAACAGCAGAGAGGACACGGGTTTCTGAGCTCTGAAAACAGGTTTAAATCGGGTTCTTTACAGAACCTTGACCAGCTGCTGAATGAAAATTACAGTAACCATGAATCTTAAAATGTTCTATTACTGGGTTCTTACTGACCCAGCTCAGTGCAGATGGTTCTGGCCCGCTCCATCCTGTAGATGCTGTAGTTGTAGAAGGTCTCGTCGAAGAGGTAACAGTGGTCCTGGTGCTGAACCCAGTTGGATGTCCCGTGGTTCTGAGGGCAGTGATTGGCCACCGGGGCAGACTTCAGTTTAGCTCCTGAGTCACGACGACAACAAAACAATCAGTTCTGATCCGAACCAAACAAGATGCTTTTAAAGACCGGAACAGATTTCTCTTATCGGCCCTTATTTTAAATATTACAGTGGTGGTGAAAAGAACGTCCATCGTTGAAATCTGGGATTTCAGGACCTGAGCTGGACTTTACCACCGAGTTAATATTAATTAACCAGAACCACTGGTTCCTGTTGCTGCTTCTACAGGATCTCAGAGGTCCAGGATCAGAAGCTGCTGAACAACAGCTGCATGGTTACACCACGTCAAGATGGAAAGACATCAGCAATAACCTCAGAGAAGCAGCTGCTGTTGTCATTCAACTTGTGAAGGGTCAAAGGTCATTTTGAAACCATCTGGAGTCCACTGTTCTACACAGAGCGATTATTCACACGTGAAAAACATTTCAGTCTTCACAGCTGATTCGCCCTGAAGGTCAGACCGTGCAGTCTCTACAGGCCTCAGGTCAAAGGTCATGGCCTCTTCTCTCTAAAAGCAACATAGCAGCTCCACTTAGATTTGGAAAGTTTCATCTGAAAGAACCACAAGACTTCTGGACCAGAACCAAACCAGAGGGCAGATGTTTACCCAGAATGCACTGCAGCAAACAGCTCCTCCCAGCTGTCAGCACGGTGGTGGAGGCCGAAGGTTTGGACTCCTGTCAGTCACCGAGTGGACCAGAACTCCTCTGGAGACCAAAAGGTTCTAGACCCAGATGAATCCATCTGTCCAACAGCTGAAGTTTGGACCGAACTGGGTCCAACAGAACCATGATCTCAAACACAGCAGCTGATCTACAACAGAACAGGTCAGAAAGAACAGAACCAAGGCGCTGCAACGGTCCAGTCAGAGTCCAGAACCTCAACCTGACTGAAACGCTTTGGTGGACCTTCAGAGAGCTGAGCAGAACCCTCAGTGATAGAAAGAAGAGTGGACCAGAACGTCTCCAGAACCATGAGAGACGAACAGAAAACCACTGCGGGTTCTGCTGCTGAAGGAGGTTCTACAAGCTGCTGGATCAGGACCTGGAACCATGTTCTGTTTCATAAATACTGACCCAGAGGAACCTGTTGAGTGTTTCTGTTCCCCTGAGGTCAGGTTTAGGAATCAGGATTTTTATTTTTGTAGAAAATAAAGGTCCAGTCTCACTTTGGGACGGGGTGCTGGTGCTGGTGTTATAGCAGATGGTGCCTTCTTGTTCAGTGTTACAACTGGTTCTGACCCACTCTCCAGCTGGGTTAATAAACAAACACTTGGCCTCGTGTGGGTCTGAGCTGGACCCTGACAGCGACTCGATGATGTTGGGTTGGTACCCGAGCTTCGTCCCATCGGACCACTCGTACTCTGAACCGCTGATCTGACGAAGAGAAAAAACAAAAAAAACACCGTTAACGTCTGAAAGGAAAGTTTGGCTCATTTCTCACGAGTTCACACTTCAGTCCTACATCCTGGTTGGACAGGCCGATCCACAGCGGGAAGCCGTCGGTCTTGGCGATCCTCTGGAGATGCTCGTGTTGGTTTTTGTCGTGGACGCTCGCCAGGTGAGCCCCGCGCCGACTGCACTCCTCCAGAGCCGCGTACCAACTCAGCCGTTCAGTCACGACTTCGTAAGTCAAGCTGTCGTACTTCTGCAGGTCCCTGACCGACTGACGGTACTCCTGTTTGGACTCTTTAAAAAAGAAGCCGATAAGAATTTTCGCCTCGGGGACCAAACCAGGGGAGGAACCGAGACGGACTGACCTTTGTCCAGTTTGCAGACCACGATCGACTGCTGCTTGAACTCGAGGAGCAATCTCAAGTTTTTGAGTAGAACCCAGGAGCCGTCCGTGGTGAGTCCAGCCATGAAGGATGTGTTTAAAACCGGTCGGCCGCTGGCCCAGTTTGAGTACTGAACCACTGTACCATCGTACCACTTCGTCAGATTATCTGGAGCAGAATAAAATCTGTTTAGTCTTCGAATTATGGCATAAAATCACACAAACGCAGTGAAAACCAGAACTGATGGAGGATCTACAAACCCCCAATCCTAATTTAGTTGGGATGACATGTAAATTAAAACAGAATGCAATGATTTGTAAATCACGTTTTATTCATAAACAAACTTAGTAAACATTAAATGTTGACACAAAGGAATTTGACCATTTTTATAAATTAATATGGTAGTTTCTAATTTTATGGCAGCAACACATCATAAAAACATTTAGGACCGGGGCAACAAGAAAAATGTCCAGAAGTAAAGATGGGTGGAGGTTCACCAGTCTGGGAGAAACTGTTCCTTAAACTAGTAGAACAATTTCAGAATAAAGTTCCTGAATGGAAGACTGAACCTCCATCGTTCATAATCTGATCAGATTAAAAGAGTCTGTAGAAATCTCTGAACTCAAAGGACGATGGTCGTAATCTTTGGGCCCTCAGGGGCCACTGGATCAGAACAAGATCTGGTTCACTTCTGGACTTCATTGCAATAAAATCAGGTCTGGTTCTGCTCTGGGCTCAGGAACACTTCCACAAATCATTGTCTGTAAACAAATGCTGCTTAAAGCTCTATCAGACAATGAAGAAACCAGATGTGAACAGCATCCAGAACCGGTTCTGTCTTCTCTGGACCAGAACTCATTTCAAATGGACTGAGGCAAAGTCCAGAACTGGATTCAAATCTAAAGTTCTGTTAGGGGACCATGGACACCATGTCCTCTACTAAAGAGAAGGACCATCCATCAGACCGTCAGCCTGTTATCAGCTCACAGTTCAAAAACCTGCCTCTCTGATGGTATGGGGGTGCATTAGTGCTTCTTCTATGGTCAGTTGACACATCTGGAAAGGAAACCTCAATGAAGAAAAATATATGAAGATTATAAAACAACCAATGCTCCCATCCTGGAAAGCCTTGCATATTTTAGCGAGCCGATGCTAAACCACAGCTTCCATCACACCAACATGGCTTCATGGGTAGAGTCTGAGCTGCAGTCCAGACCTCAAAACATCAGGCATATTAAGACCAGGACTACTGAACAGCTAGAATCCTCTAGACAAGAATGGGAAAACAATTCCTCAAAAACCTCCATGAACTGGTCTCAGACATTTACAGACGGTTGTTCAAAGAAGTCGTGGACCTGGAACAAATTCTGTTTTACATCCCAACTTTTTGGGAACTGAGGTTCTAGAGTGAAATGGAAGTAAGATCATTTTTCTAAAGGTTTGCTCCTTCTAACTAAAATAAATAAATAAATAAACAACATACTTTCATCTTCGAAGATTCCCAGCCAAACAAATCTGACCAGACTCTCAAACTGTTTGAGCTGGCTCGCGATGAACTTGTTCTCCTGCTGCGTTCTGATGGTCAGGATGTCCGAGTCTGGATCTGAAGCAAACATCAATCATGACCCTTCTCTCACAAACATGACTCGGTAATGAGTGCTGTCAAGCTCTTACGGATTGTTCTGCAGGTTTGTGAGACCTGGCCTTTGTTAAAGTAATCCCATCTGGTTCTGGTGAGCTGGAAGGTGTAGCAGTTGTTCCTCCAGGGGATCCAGTTGGGTCCTTTAATGACATGAGGACACTTCACGGCAACCTCCTCTGGTTTGGGGATGATCTCCTCTGGAATAAAGAAGTTTATTTAGACTCCTCACAGTATTGACATTTAAGTTTTCAAGGTCTAACCTGTAAATATTTCAGAACAAAAGATGGATGTAGAGTTTAGTTTATTTTGAAAGGGCTTTAATACCAACACAATCAAAATACTAAGATTTTATTTTTATTTTACGGTTTATGAAAGTGACAACAAATTAAGACATTTGGCAAATTAAGGCTACTAAGAAAAAACTAAATGGGAAGTGTTTGTTTATTTTTTTTTATTTAAGTCAAATGAAAAAAAAAGTTATTTTGAGAACAAAAAAGGAAAAAAACAAACAAACTGACCATCGATTCAAAGGTCTACAAAAGCAGCATTAATGATTCTATATGGACAAATATTTTAGCACAAACTGAGAAAGAGAAGGAGGTAAGAACTTAGATCCATCCATCCATTCGTTATCTTTACCCACTTCTTCCTTTTCAGGTCACGGGTGTCACTGGTGTTCATATCCAGCAGTCACTGTGTGAGAGGCGGGGGACACCCTGGACCAGTCTGGATCCATTCTGTCACCGTTAGTGAAACAAGGAGTCACTAATCTAGGAGTGATACTTGACCCTTCTCTGAAACTCAACAATCATGTAAATATGATCGTTAAATCCTGCTTTTTCCAGCTGAGGCGACTGTCTAAGCTGAAGCCCATATTGTCCAAAAATAACCTGGAGACAGTAATTCATGCATTCATTACATCCAGGCTCGACTATTGCAACTCACTCCTTTTTGGTATCAGTCAGACCTCCATAGCTAGACTTCAACTGGTCCAAAATGCAGCAGCCCGGTTTTTGACTAGCACAAGCAAAAGAGAGCACATTACACCTGTTTTGGCCTCCCTACACTGGCTTCCGGTTCACCTTCGAATCAAATTCAAAATACTCTTGTATGTCTATAAATCACTAAACAGCTCTGCCCCCTCCTATCTTACTGATCTGCTCCAGCCGTATGTCCCACCACGTTCTCTCAGATCAGCAGACCAGTTGCTCCTAACAGTCCCAGGAACCCGTCTCAAGTGACAGGGCCTTCTCTGTAGCAGGCCCAAGACTTTGGAATGAGTTACCTCTGCTCGTTAGACAGGCCCCCTCCCTCACAGTTTTTAAATCTCGCTTAAAAACACACTTTTATTCCCTGGCCTTCTGCACTGTGTGATCTGTGCTGAGTCTGTGTGCATCACACTGTGTTGGTCATGTTGCGGTTGTTGTTGTTGTTATCCATTATTGTTTCTGTTGGTTTCTACTTTTTGGTATCCTGTTATGTAATCTGTTGCTGTGTGCTTGTTCTGTTTGTCCCTGTACAGCACTTTGGTGTGCTTTGTCACTGTTTAAAGTGCTTTATAAATAAATTGGTATGGTATGGTATGGTATGGTATAGTCCATCACAGGGACACACAGACAAACAACCATTCGCTCTCTCACTCACACCTAGGGACAATTTATAGTTACCAATCAGTCTAACATGCCTGTTGTGCTGTGGGAGGAATCCAGAGTACCTCGAGAAAACCCACGCATGCACAGAGAGGACATGAAAACCACCCAGAAAGGCCCCCAG